ATTTTTATTTTTATTTTTTATTCTTCCTGGAGAAATGAGGAGGGAGAGGTCTGTTGGCTGTTCTTTGTCTTTAATAAATTTTATTTAGATGGGGTCAGTTTGTTACGGAGAACGCACATCAGTAAATGTAAACTCAAACTCTCATGTTTTCTGTTGTAAAAGCTATTTCCAGCAGCCCCGCCATCTGCTTTCTGGTGCAGACTTCACTACTAACCAAATTTACCAAACATGAGGGAGATTCATTTTAAGTAAATGAAACCTTCTAGCTCTAGATGCTCATGAAAATATACCACAGCATTTGATTCCCACCTGGGAGAAGCCACGCTGCTTCGAGTGGCAGCTCTCTGGGGTAGCTGTACCAGTGCAGTCTACTGACTTTGACTGGTGCTAAGTCAGAACATCATTTCAGCTTTGCACTGCTCACGTTAAAATACTTTATGATGACGGAAACTTCTGAAGAATGGACTTTCTTCCTGTGGCTGAATAGAAAGCTTTTTGCCTTGGTTCAGCTTCAGAAAGCCATTGATTGTGTTGAAAATGAAGCAAAACCAAGTGCTTGATTATAGCGGCTTATTTTTTAAATGCATATTGTACCTAGGAGGAACACGAGTCCTAGGGCTTCCTGAAGCGGGGTTAACCCCACTCAAACCAGTGCCACAATTGTTGATCTTGATTTGGATTTTTAGTTGCATGAAGCATTCCTTTGATCGGTTTAAAACATCTTGTTAATACTGCATATTTGTTTGTTCAGATAGCATCTCAGATTTCCTGTTTGAGCAGCTAGTAAGCTTTTGATGATAATGAGGTAAATTTTGCCATTGCAAAATACAAAGCTCAGAACCTTGTGGCTCTGCCAAGTATTGTGCTCTGCTAATTACTTTTTGCAATGTTGTTTTTAGGTGGCTCAAATGAAGAGCAAAGACAACAGAATTAAGCTGATGAATGAAATTCTCAATGGGATTAAAGTTCTGAAACTTTATGCTTGGGAATTAGCCTTCAGAGAGAAGGTATTAAAGATCAGACGGAAAGAACTCAAAGTCCTAAAAAAATCTGCTTACCTTGCTGCAATGGCAACTTTCACTTGGGTTTGTGCTCCTTTTCTGGTAAGTGAAACAAATGTACATGTCGACTCTCCTTTTTGGGATCATGCTTTCCAAGGCAGCACTTGCAAAGTTGTTTTGCTTGTATTTTTTAACGAGTGGATGTTTTTTAATGAGTGGAAGAGTCAGAATGGCCCTCCTCAGCAGAGCACTTACATCTCCAGTTCTTTATGAAAAGGCACTACTGTTTTATTTGAAACTTGGTAAGAAGTTAATGGTTGAGGTATTTAAAAATAAAAATCTCCTCTGCATCTCACTGCATTTCTGGTAGTGTGCTTGAGGAACCCCAGATTAAGTTTGCTGTCAGATTTAGAAGAGGTTACTAATGCGCACAGTACCTTCAGCATGGTAGCTGTGTCTGACAATAAAACCTCCTGTAGTTTGGCACCTTTGAGAGCAGCAAGTAAGAGCCCTTGATGGAACGGGACGTTGTGTGCCAGGCATACCTCTGGCCTGGGTTCTCCCAGCATCTGTTTAAGAACAATGAAGAGGCAAAGTCATTGCATACGCTGAGATTGCTTTAAATTCTAACTTAAAAAATAAATTCCCTACTGTGCTTGTGGTTAGCTTACATTTAAAATAAAAGGGCAAGAAGGATGACTATTAGACCTATTAGAAAAATGAGCCATTGATCTTGTTGGCAGAAGCAAATAAAAGCCATGACTACATTAGGATAAAATATGTGCTGTTCCAGTTGAAGGTGTTTAAGTGTACTTTCCAGTCTCAGATTCCTTCCCTGCAAACATTTTTCGTGTTTACATTATGTTTTAGGCATGATGAAAGGCAGAAGCAGCAGTGCCTTGGGTAGGAAACATCAGCTGCATTCTTAAGTGAATGCTTTTCTAAAAGAAGTCTGAGATTGTTTTAATATGAATACGTTATTAAATGAAATTTCTAAATAAAATGTCACAGGTGAACTCCTTAATGCTGTTCCGTGGAGTCTGAGAAGACAGATTCAGCTAATGAGTAGCCCCGTTTTAACACACGTTGTCAGTGTGTGGCAATGCCCCTGCACCTTAGGAGGTTTGCCACTGGGGCAGAATCAGTACAGCCGGGAGTGCAAGGGTGCTGTTTAACATCCTCTTTCTTGGATTTTTGTTCTTCGTATTTCTTCTGAACTTCTGATTAAAGCCTTACTTTAAGTGCCTACTTAAAAGCGCTTTTGGCGTGCAAAACTCTATTTCCTCTACCCCTTCTCCTGTTTCCATGGCTTGAGCGCTTCTAAAGCATTGTTTAGTAACGGTGTCAGGAAACTATTAATTTTGCAATACCTCGTGTACTGCTGTGTGTGCTGATAAGGGTATATTTCAGCCTAATTGCTGGTAACACAAGAGTGCAGACATGCTGCTTGTGGGGTAATTCTTTGGACCCTGTTGTGTTTTTGATCTCTGTGGGAGGCCTTTCTCCCTGGGATATGATTATCCAAACTAGGGGTTGTACAAACAAACTACTGTACCAGGCACAGCTGAGTCAGCTGCTGTGTGAAGAACAAGACGTGTCTTCACCGCAGTCAGTTTTTTAACAAAAATACGACTGTCTTCAATGGATGCTCCGCTTAGATTAGACTGTTCCTTAGGCTTTTGAGCTAGTTGTTTCAAGCCTTGTGGGAGGGGGCATGCCAAAGGTTAGGCTACCTTGATCTCTTTTTTTAAGGGGCGATCTGTGGGAGAGAGTTGCTGGATCTTGTGATATACCATGGTATGAGTGTTGTTACCACGGAAGAAAAGACTGTGAAGAGAATAGATCTGGAGGCGAATGTTTGGTTTTGCTTAGCTTAATTTTACTATAATTTAATCAACACATTTTAAAAGAAAAATATATGAAAAAGAAAAGTATGTGGATTTTAAAAAATTATTTTTATACCTTATGATTGATGATAACAATGTTTCAATGTAATTTTCTTTTTCAGCATCCTTCTTAAACTTTTCTGCTCTGAACTGTTTGGGAACTATAAGGGTTTGTCTTTGTAATGCAGTAGCGTTTCAAGTTTCTGTCCGTGATAAAGTGGGCTTTACTTGGAAATCTGTGATTGTGTTAGTTTGCAAAAAAATATAAAATGGGTTGGCATTGGGGTGTTTCTGACTTTTCTGTTCATATATGTCCAGTACCTGGTACCACAGGGAGTGCCTTAGCACTGGAAGAGCAGCAAGAAAAACAAAGAAAAACAAGCAATCATTCCTCTCCTTCCCTTCTCCTGCAGCGAGGTCACAATTGACCTGGGACATTTGTGGTTTCCCCCTTGCTATGTGAAGAAAGTGAGCACTGGACACCCTTCCAAGAGGAGCCATCAACTTCTTTTGACAACAATAGGTTTAAATCATACGTTTGTTTTGCAAAAAGGAGAAGGAACAAGAACGTTACCAGAACATTACTGTTCCTTTAATTTGTAGACCTCTGATTCCAGGTGTCAGTCTATGTGACTCTCGAGTTGGTAGCTTTAAGAAGTGTCGCTCTAACTGTAACTATTACGCTTTCTTTCAGGTTGCCTTGTCCACCTTTGCTGTGTTTGTCAAAATATACAAGCACAACATCTTGGATGCTGAGAAGGCGTTTGTTTCCCTAGCATTATTCAACATCCTCAGGTTTCCATTGAACATGCTTCCTATGGTTATCAGCAACATAGTAGAAGTAAGACTTGAGTCATTAAAAGCTGTTTTATACAGAAATAGCTGCTGGGTGGGAAGATTATGTTCCTGTGCTTAGAGAATGTCCACTGGTGAAATTCAGCCACCTCAGAAAGAGGCCTTTGCGTTTCCTGTGTGTGAAATGCTTTTTCTGGGTATTAAATGCTGTGCAAGCAAAATTAGCAGTTGCAGTTATGGTGGATGAGTGTTCCTGAAATCAACTGTCTTTGTTGTGGTTTGGGAAGTGTGGGTTTGACTAGCCAAGAAACTATGCAATGGATTTAGGAAGGGATTAGGAGTGCATAATGATGATGTAACATATATGTGGTGCAAAACTACAAAGCTATCAAGGAAAATTAGTAGAGTGTAAGATACTTTTTCATCCCTTTCCCATGTAGGCCAGTGTCTCCTTGAAGCGCCTTAGGGTGTTCCTGTCTCATGAAGAGTTAGATCCACACAGCATCATCAGAGGTCCCATTACAGACGGTGAGTTTCGTTTCTTGTTGAAAGTCAATGTGTGCAGGTTTGAGGTGGTTTCACGGTGTTTCTTTTACTTTCTGTAACAAACTTAGTGCATTTTAGTGGATTTCACTGATAAATTTTGGCCGTTAAGCAGAGAAGGGAGTTTGTAAAATCAAAATGATATAAAATTTCTACCACCTTCTGAGGTAACTTCCTTCCTCTCCCCAATTCCTGTGTCCAAACTACACAATGATTACATCTAGACACAGATGGCCACTTTAAAAATCACTCATTAGATTCTTCTAAGTGTGGCCGTTGAAATTTGTAGGTAGTTAACAGAATGATAATTAATGCTGTGCCAAAACACAGCATTTTAGGGAAGAACAATCCTGTAACACTTTGTCACTCTTGAAGGAGAAAGGATAAGTCCCAGTTCTGGCAAATGCCTCTAATTTCTCCTTTGTGCAAAGAGTTACTCCCAGTGTCGTTCCCACTGTACCCAGTGTTGCTGGTCTGGTTACAGAGAACTGCTGAGGAGATAGAGAAGCATGAAGACAGCTGTACTGAAAAACTAATGCTCTTTTTTCAAAACAAAACTTGATTTAAACGACAGCAGTAATTTCTAGATTTTTTTAAATTTCCTTTTGTACAAAGACTGTGAAATCTCTATTGCTTCCTCTTGTGTGGTTAGCTGAGCTCTATATAATTTTAGTTGGCTTTCCAGTGAGCAGTCAGCTGCTGTATTTAATTTGTGTTTTTTACTTCTTCATATCTCCTTTTTGGAAATATCTCCTCCTCTTGTTCAGCTGATAACCATCAATACATTGCTTAAAAATATTTAGTGTAGAGTTTTGGTTTTTGTCCATAGTGAGTTGTACTTGCATACTAACGTAAATATTTACCTAGGCTAAGTATTTCTTACTTGGTTGAATTAGGAGTGATATATTTTGAGTTGTTGCTATAAAAATATGGAGATGCCAGTACCATGCAACATTTCACTGAATGATATTTTTGGTCAAAGTTATTTTATTTGGTAATTTGATTTATTTTGCCCTATCATTCTTGTAGCTTAGCTGCACACGTGGAATTGGCAGTTTAGCTGATGCTTCCATAGAAGCACAAGTCTGGCTGAGGCTGCCAGTTTCTTGAACTGACTCTGCAGTGCTGCAGTGGAGTTGCTGGATAAAGGAGGATGCAGCTGAATGGGTCACAGTCTTTGTATAGTTGAGATATTTGTCTACCTCCTGGTTACTGAATAAGTATAACTGTAGAACCTGTTACCTTGATAAATTCAGTAAAAGCAGAACACAAGCTTTTTGCTAAGCAGTGGTTTCAGTTCTGATGGAAACATAGCTTTTATCCCTCTGGCTGTGTGTGCTTAAATTGATGTCTGTGGCATGATCCAAATTAGCTGTTGCATTGATGCTTTTATAAATATGAATTTTCTATTTGTCAGCTGAAGGATGCATTGTTGTAAAGAATGCAACGTTTAGCTGGTCTAAAAATGATCCTCCTTCACTGAACAGGTGAGAACTGGTACCCTTTGTTCTACTCTGTCATCTTGCTGCATCATAGGTGATGTGTATTTAAATTATAAAAGCTATATGTCGAAGAATTTGTTATCTTAAAGGAATAGAACAAATAACATCTGTTCTATATTTTTATTTTATTTTTAGACCGGGGCTTAGTGAACTAGAGGAATTTACAAAGTATGTTTTATGTATGGAATGCATGAAGGGGGAGTAGCAGGAGATACAATGGGAGGGAAAGTCTCAGAGATTTCCAACTCTTGCGATGTCCTGCACTCGAGATGAGCTCCATCTAGAGGATGCAGCCAGATTAGCCCCTTGTAATTAATCCTTAGTGCCTCATGTTAGCATTATGTCCTTGAAATCTTCCTTTAAAAATCTTCTCACTGAATGGTAGCCATCCTTGATTCCTGTGCTCGAGAAAACCAGTGACGAACGTGCACATTAAATGACTAGCAGAGTAACTGGGATGATGCAGCTACATCTGTCTCTACTGTGCTCTGTCCCCTCCTTAATTTTGGCTGCTCTTTCTTGGGCCTTAACTTGCATATTCTTTGCGTATTGTTTGGGAAGCATTCATTGATATTCACTTATGCGTTCACAGAACATTTGAAATAAATACTGGACAGGTGGTGTCAGAGTGCCCTTTTTAATTTCTTTTTTTCTTCCCCTTTTGACCAATTACACACAAAGATGCTATGTCCTAAGTACAAGAAGAGCTGGGTGCTTTCTGAATGAGAGGTTTGCATTTTCAAACAGTTAAAGTTTGTGTGCGGTGTCAGCATTTGCAGTGAGTGTTCACATTGCATCTGGCTTTGTATTATCTGTTCAGTAAACTGTTTAACTACTGGGATGTGTCAGCAAGCAAGGCTGAATTATGTGCACTTTATTTCAGCATTAACTTCACTGTTCCTGAAGGCTCCTTGGTAGCTATTGTTGGTCAAGTTGGCTGTGGGAAGTCTTCATTGCTGTCTGCATTACTGGGGGAGATGGACAAAAAGGAAGGCTACGTGGTTGTCAAGGTGTGATGTGTCTGAAGAATTGTTCCACTATTTGTGGGTATTGCCAGAGGGATTATAGATTTTCAGGGGGTGTAAAGAGGAGAAGACAACCTTTCAAATCAAGATGGTTTTTAGCCCAATTTACTTGCAAGCCATGTGTGTGCCTTAGCCTGTACTCTGTGTAATTGCCTGTTAAGCCTTGACCCAACAACTTCTAAATCTGTTGGTTTCAGATTTAGCCAAATAGAATGGTGCAGGTCTCAAAGCTAAGTATTCTGGTGAATCTGGTGCAGCCAGGTGTGAGATGGGGAGACCCTGTTGTATCTGCTCCTGCCTTCTTAGACATCAGAGGGATGGTACTCCTAGATATTCAAACTTGAGAAAAGCTACTGTTGTAGTTTATACTTCCTTAGACATCAGAGTTGCACAGAGTTTACAGAGGAAAAATGACCTGTAAATAAGTAAGAAGTCCTTGTATTGGATTTTGCTGCTGCTGTAATTCAGGGAAAG